GGGGTAAAAACAGATTCAGAAGCTTCCCGAGGAATTGACCTCATGTTGATTACAAAGAAAGGGCGTAAGTTCGGGCTTCCTTCCAAGAATCACTTGGTCGCTTTTAGCTAGGTCCAGGGCAGAGAGAGAGAAACCAACAATACGGGAATGATTGCAAAAATGTCTTCGTGACGGAATGGAATCAAGAATTACCAGTGATGGGGAAATAGATCCGAGGGTTGGTGAATGGACTAGCAAGTTTCAATCACACAGCAATCCCTATCGCGCCAAGACCCAAACACAAAGGGATATGTGTTGTGAATCCTGCGTTTTTTGTTGTTCTAATTCAAAGGGAGCCAGTTCGCTCACCCAGCTATTTGCCAGCAAGCCTTGGCTGAGACTGATAGCAATTAGCTCGGTGTGTGGATGGATAGCCACGTACCCGATAAGGATCAAGGAAGATGATCGGAAGTTTGAAAGGTGGTGGTGATGAAGATGAGAGAAGTTGACAGAAGACGCAAATGAGAGTGAAGATGAAGAGGGCACTGGGTGTGGGATGATTGATAGGGTAGTACATAACAAGAGACAGAATTGGCGAAGAAACGGCTTACGATTTAGTCTTGACAGTCAAAGATGGGGAGGCGAGATGAGCTTAGGACACGCGCAGTTCGGGCACCTATGAGCAAAGAAACCTGGTACGAATCGGATTGGCTGGATTTGGAGTGAATGGTTTCCGAAAAGCTTAGCAGGATTCTGTTTACCCAAATCCGGGTGATCAGGCGAGATTGAACTGACAAAGGGATAGTGCAGGTTGCTTAGCTCACCTGGAACACCTGAAATTCGGGGTTGGGTTTTTATTGTGATGTTTTTTTTCCCCTTTGTTTTCTGGCTGTGTCCTTTCTGATTCTGTGATCACTTCGAGACGATTGCCGCGGATAGCGTGTTGAACGAATGAGCTCGGAGTTGAAGACGAGTGTGCTGAGGGTGGATACCGATTACTGTTGTGGTGAGATGGAACTAACTCAGTTAGCTTGATCGAATGTTCGGGTGAAAACGCCTTGCTTGAACACTCTACTGCGGACGAGTAAGTTGGACTTGAGAGTTTTGAAACAAATACAAGGCAACCGGACCGATGATCGAGGTGATAGTTAATTATGAGAGGGTCCGTCGAGCGCCGAGAATAATGATAGGGTGTTCCCAGGCGATTGACCAAGGGATAGAGAATCGAAGATAACCTCGAGAGGGATTGATAAGCTGTATTATCGGGGCTATAGAATTCTGAGCGGGTAGAACGGGACAAAAAGAAATTGACGATCAATTTTCCAAAGCCGTGGTAAGTCAATCAACAGATTGATTAATGAGAGCGATTTTTGTAACAGTTGTTGTTCTTAGGACCGGCGGGTAGAAGGTAACGAGGGATGTAAGGATTATGTGGATTGTTGTTGGTATGTAGTGTCTAGAGCGTGCAAGAGGAGAATGACTGAGGGGCTGGGTACTGCAGTCTGCAATGGAGTAGGGCGGTTTTGAAAGTCAAACCAGTTGTGCAACGGAACAAAGGCGGGGAGGGGGGGTGGGGGGAGAGAGTGAGGGTTGGCTTTAAGCGTCAAAAACTGGCGATGAAAATTTCGTAGAGCAAAAAAAGGGCTGTGAGAGAGGCAATGGCTATTGGTTAATACACCCAAAGTTGAGGCAGTACGCTAGAAAATGTGTTGTATGATTGTAAGAATTTCTGGGAAGATCGAAATGGAAGAAGCCCCGGCGTCCAACACGCTTTTTAACTGCCTGCAGAAGACATGGCCGATGGTGTAGCGCGGTGGATATTTTCGTACTCTACAACTTGTTGAATACTCAACGTCCGGTTGTAGTCAAAGTGATCGAGTTGGTAGTGGTTGCTAAGGATACAGTGGTCGATTGAATTTGGTGTGGAAGTAGTGCCAGTACTACCGAGGTGAATGTGTTGTTTCTGTCTGGACTTACATATGAGAAGTGCTTTTGAGCAATCCGATTATGAAAAACGATTGGTCGGATGGGCAGCGAATTTTAATTGTGAACGGTTGGGTGGTTGTCGGAGGGAGCTTGTATGAATAATGTAGAACTTTTGAGGCTCATTTCCATGGGTGGAGGCCAAAAGTTGCGCAACTTTCAAGGATGTCGCGCTGGTGTGGAACGCGCAGGCCAGAGGAGAGTTTCTTACAACGCACAGGAGTTGAGTTAAGGGCAAAAAAGAAGTCATGATTTTTTTTTTACGCGCGTGAGACGGGCTTTTTGCAGATAAGCCAGGTTGATTGTTGTAGTGGCAAAAACCCGTTATGCACTTGGCACCCGGCGAATTTTCAACCGGTGAGCCAAAGCTTGACACGTGGAGGTTATGTTGAAGACAAAGTTATATTGTAGTGCGGTGTGTACATGGCAACTGAGCCATGAACGGAAGCCAAGGGCGTCAACCGCTTGACTACCGATTCGGCACTGCATCACCGGCGCACTGCCACATAAAACCATCTTTCTTGCAAGATGGATTCGAGCTTCGAACGACCGGAAAAGACAACGGTACATATGAGGTGGGCATGGAGGCAGACCGATAGAGGGCTGACTGTATGTACGCGATGCACCGGAGGCCCCTTCCCATCTTTCATTTTGTTTCCATTCTCTGCTCGGGATCGGAGTCCGGAGTCCGGAGTCCGGATTCCGGAGTCCAGGAGGATTGGATATCCACAGTTTGATCGTTCTTCTCGCCCGGAAATGGTTGATGGCATGCAACATAAACGCATCGACCAGGAAGTAATTTTGTAACCCAGTCCACAGCACTTCTCCGGCCACCCATTTCCAAATCTATGTCTACGCCAAGGTTATCGATCACTGATTAAAAGGCTGCAGATTATGCACCATCCCCGGAGACTTCTTGTGTGGTTGTGCTATGAGATTCGATGTGGTATCCCGAGCGGAGAGGAGCGGAGCCTCCGTTCACAAGAGAAGGGCGCACAACATAGGCATTGTAATTCTGAGTTATGTCAATAATATCCTCATTTTGGGAATATACCACACATACAAGCAGATGCAAGCAGAGAATCAGTGCTTCCCGCTTTC